GGTGTAGAGAAACAGAATTGTTAGAAGATAATGCCATAGTATTTGGAAATATTTTTTTTATCCATAAGAGTAATCGAGAATATACGAACTTTATACAATAAAAAGCAGATCGCAATAAAAAGCAAAATGCATAAAAAAGCAAAATGTTCTAATGGAGCCGAGTTAAAAAATTAATGACACTGTTCTTGTTTAGTACTAAATAATATTCTGTTAAAGCAGTTTATATCTTAAGTTTTTTCGTTTGTAATGATATTTATTCTTCATTTTTTGCAGCGTATTTTTTTGTTTTAAACACTGATTTAATTTAAGTAACCAAATGAGTGTAATCAGCTGATTAAACAGCTGATTGATCAGCTGATTAAAAATACGTGTAAATTGTTAACAGTGTTTTTAAAATTACAGTTCGAAGTGATCCTCCTTCCTGGTCTTGATTACATTACTAAAATTCAAACGATTAAAAAGATGTATAATACCATTTTTGTATAGTTAGCTTAACCCATCAAACTTTATTCTGACGAAGTGAAATGGGCAATCAGTATGAGATATAGGAAGCAGACGAAGGACGAGAATGACGAAAAAAATCTAAAAGCAGGCAGTGAAAAACTTTGCTATTAAACCTTTAATTTAACCTTTCCTTTAATGATAATAAAACCATTAATTTGCATTCCATATGCGGTTGCGCACAGCCAATTTTCAAAATGTTGCCAAAGTATAAGATCTTAACTTCTCTTTCAGATTCCATCAGTTATTTATTGATAAAGAAACTGGGCAATTAAAAAGTAATAACGCATTCTTTAAAATATGCAGATCTTTTACTTTTCTAAAACTTCATCTAATTAACAAAATTTATGTTGAATTTTTCATAAACTCTTATTTCAGCTGTAGCTTATAATTCGAGGTTTTCAGATTTAAATTTGCTTTAAATTTTCTTTCAGTACGTGAGAAAATATATTCAAACTCTTAGCAGTAGCGATTTCTTCCCGTAGTTTGGTTAGTATAAATCTCATACTATCCTATAAATTTTGGACTTTTTTCGACTACATAACTACAACCTTAAATATAATTAAGCAAACCATATTTTGGGCAGTATTAACATTGAAAATAAATTGAGTATTCACTTTTTTCTCAAGAGTAAAAAAGGGGCTGATTAGAAAAAATGAATTTAAGTTTGTCAGATAAAAATACTTCTCTTGAATGCAATCATTCATGAAATATTATTTCCCCATTTTTTTAAATCTCAAACTGAAGGCGAGCTATATAATTTGATTTCCAATTGCTTATGCTAGAACTTACTCGGAAAGAAATAAATCTCGTATTTCTTTTAATGGGATTTTGCTTGAATTTAAACTATTCAAATAATTTAAATGCTACAGTGCGATGTACAAACACTGATATTGAAATTGAATACTTTTACGACGTACGTTACGTCCTTGTAAGCCGTTACTTTAAGAAGCTGTACTTTAAGTTTTGCTTTGTATTTTATTACAATAATTTCTTTCGTATGTATGTAAATAGCGGCATTAAATCGGCCATAAAGAATCCGTAGCGTAGTTTTGAGGTATCGCATTATTTTCTAAGGGCTATTTATTCAGAATTTTATAAAGGAAATAGAGTTCGTTCTGAATACTTATTTTCCAATGAATGACTCTTTAAACGAAAATAAATCCATAGGTACTTAAAAGGACAGAATTTCTATAAAAATTATGCTAACATATCGCATCTGTATAAATGAAAAACAAACAGTGTTTTTTCAATACAAAGAAGAAACCAAAGTTAAGAAGATTCAAACATGTACCAGCCTATATTTCTGTAGCCGAGTACGTTCTCTATCGCTTTAGAGATATCTGTTGTTAATGGCGCTAAAGACGTCAATTTTTGTAAAAATTATCAGTTATATATAATTTATATCAAACACAAATATTAAAAAAGGGGATATACAAGGAAATTCCGTACTAGTAATACGTGAGGGAGAATAGTCTGAAAGGGTTCAGATTTTAAAGATCGCCCAAAAGGGCTCTTTTAAAGCTGTCTTAATAATTTATCAGCAGAGATTACATGGATAAAGAGGGTCCAGGTAGAACAATGAAACATTTTGTAAGATATTATCTGAATATGAACTTAGTCTAACATTGGAACGTTACGTATTTCTGCTTATTTAAAAAGTGAAAATATGTGTAATGTAAAATATTACATTACACATATTTTCACTTTATATTGTTATTTTCACTTTCACACCTATAAAAATATTTAACATTTTTCATAGATACATCATGAATTAAATACATTTTTATTTAGATCAATCAGATTAAAAAGTAAAAGAATAATGTTCTTAGGAACTGCATCTATTGCTTTTAAATAGCATGTTGATTAGTAATAGACAGATTAAATATGAAGGAATGATATCTTACGTTTTTTCGAATGGCAAGAGAATAGAATAAATAATGAAACAATGAATCAAAATGAAACCAAGGAGGGTAGAATAAATGGAGTAAGCCTACTTTATATGTCTCGCGCAATGAAAATGAAGCCACAAAACGTCACGATTTGACATCAAGACTTACCATGGACGCCGCCACATGCCGATTTCCGGTTGGTTTTATTTACATCGTAATCGGTGTCGTCTACATGCTAGCTATTCCTCACTCATCGTTTATAAGACTACCGTTTTAATTTAATAATTAACATAAATGACTTTCTACTTAGTAGATAGAAAAATCCCAAGGACTGCAAATAACTGTTTTAAATTGAATAATATCTAGGTGCATGAAAACGTGTTACTGATAATTGTTAGACGAATGTATACATAGTAAAGCGTCGAAGACCAGTGGAAGTTTCAAAGGTATGCCTAAAGACACTTTTCTGAACCTGCAGATGCTGATATTTGCTCTAAAAGTAGGTGTAATTTTCTTTAACAATATATGTTTCGTAATCTTGTCCGTACGCTGTATAGTGGCCATGATAAATCGTGATGTCACGTTATTGATATTTCCTTGGCTTTATTTTTGTAGCATCATACTTACTCCATCTAGTCTAACGTAATATTATGAACCACCACATATTCAAAAGTTGAATTACCACTGAATCTTCAAACCACGGATGTGCAGCACTTGATAAGCAAATCTATAGCATAGCAAATGCTACGTGATTCAGAAAAACGTTTAATGAAACAGCTTGATAATTAAACATTTGTTTCCATTCAAACATGATTTATTCGGTTACAGAAGAAAACATATAGCGGACGCAAATGTCGCGGAAGAAACAACGCAAGGAGAAAACGACGTGGTACAAAACATCGTAGGAGAAAACATCGCACTTCTAAAACATCATGGTACAAAATATCGTGGTCGAAATATCGTCGTCAAAAATATCGTGGTAAAAATAAAGTACCTATAAATCATCACACGACGATAACATCGCACACATGCGTTTCAGGTTTTGATAGTTGTAAATGCATTTTCGTATAAAGATCATAGAGCGCAAGAAGGAAAGAGGGATTCTTTTATTTCTATATTTCATATATTTCAACGAACTAATAAATTTTTGCTGAAAAAATAAGAAGAAAACTTCATTCAAAAATTGAAAATGAGTAGAAAATTAATGCAACTTAAAACGATTAACAGAATTTTAAATTTATATAGTTAATTAACAAAGGCCATTAATAAATTAGCTTTTTTTATAAGTTTGACTGCTAATTTTTCATGAAAAATACAATCTAAAAATGCTTGGAAAAAGAAGATAAATAACTGCATGAGGTTACCTCTGTAAAAATTGTTTAGTTAATGATCAAACTATTTTTTTTCACATTTGTTAATCTGATATTGTTTTAATGAAAATTACATATTGTTTTGTTTTCGTTTATTGTTAAAGTGTCGTTAACATTTTCATGTATGGCGTGCAATCAATTTTTTGGAGGTTGATTTGTTAGTTATGAAGAAAGTCAGTTACTTAATATGTCACTAAGCGATTTAAAAAACGCATGTACGCGATGTTATCGTCATGCGATGATTTGTAGGTACTTTATTTTTTACCACGATATTTTCGACCACGATGCTTTTAAACTGCGAAGTTTTGAATCGCTTTATTTTCGACCACGATATTTTAGAACTGCGACATTTTCTCTTTGCGATGTTTTCTCCCACAATGTTTTGTGCCCTGACATTTTCGTCCACTATGTTTTCGGCTGTAACGCACGGACATCGCCCTCCTGCATTTTGGTTTAATGCTAAATCATTGCAAGAAGTGACGATGATGTCACGTGCAATAATGTTACAGAATAAACGCACCCTGAAGCAACAATAACAATAGCAAAATAAATATACAAATTAATAAGCTTCTAATCTATAACTTCAGGTTACAGCCTAATAATTTGATGGATAAGTATCGTTAAAGGTTTTTAAATTTAAAAATACTAAAAATTAATAAAAATTTATACATGTATTTTGGTTTACTTTTTTTAAATAAGAATAATATCTACCATTGGCTACTAATGAAACCAAATTTTGTCACTAAATAAAATTAAAACACGACTTAAAACGAATTTCAATTTTAAAAGCTCTAGAGTTGTTTCGATATTTCGTTTTGGAGCGTCAATTGTTTAAATCGAAGAATATCAGAATGTCAGAAAAGTGATATTACTGATGGAGCAAAATTAAAAAAAAAGTACTTATAGATAATTTTCAAAGGAATCAGACACTTTACCGTTATTATATAGTATTAAAAATACATTTAATTTATTACACTTCTGGTGTAAAATATCCCTTGCTACAAAATATTATTAAGACATTGATATAAAATAACTTTTAAAATGATTTACTTTCTTTTTTTTCCTTGCTTATGACTGAGCCAATTGCATAATACCGAATATAAAGAAAACATATTATTCATCTTTAACTGGCTGCAACGAGCTCTGATGTTCCTAACATTTATTTAACTAACTAATTCATAACAATAGCATTTTTTCGCGACTTTGCAACAAGAAAGAAGGAGACAGGAGATCTTACTGTTATCATCGGTAACCTCAAACCGCAGCAAGAGGGAGTCACCAACTTGCGCCGTGTACAAATCTCTTCCCAGTCGGTCCGTGACTTTCATCGTCACATTGGGCGCTCCGACATTGACTGAGTGACTGCTGTAGGTATCCACGTCACTAGAAAGGGGAAAAAAAAAGTTAGAAACTTCAGGAATATGTATAATGCTTACGAAATAACCTGAGGCTGTTACTAAAATAAATTTAATTTCGTGTATTAGTAACTATATTAAACCTAACTATATTAAACTAGGCAGATTAAGTTGCGTGCTGGGAATTGAAACATGGTCAAAACAGCTTGTTTACTAAAATTCCTGACAAAACTAATTGTTGTATTTTCTCTACAGATAGGAAAAACAGAAAATCTTTTCATCCTATTATAAATTTATGTAGTTCAAAGATCAAACAGGTTTCACATCCCAAGCAGCTAGGCCTAACTCTAGATGCAGAATTCAGATTTTCACATCACCTTAAAAAATCTCTAACAAAGCTTTAAAAATGATAGATATTCTAAAACGATTATGTGGTGAATCTTGCGGACCAAGGCCTCTTCTTAACACATATATTTCGCTTGTTAGGCCCTTTCTGAATATACTGCACCCATATGGGCATCAGCTTCATCTTGTGTAAAGGAAAAGGTTGAGGGTGTTCAATACAGGGCCTCTAAAATCATCCCTGTTTCATCCACAAACAACACTAAAGCAGGAACTGAATGTGGCCTGACCTCTTTAAAAATAGAAGTAAAATTAGTCACAATCAAATTGACAAATAAAATTTGAAGCTTTGCCGACTATCACATCTCCAATAAAACATTCAAAGCATGGAGGTCTTTCACTTTACAGCTGGACCATAAGATCAGGAGAGATATTTGCTCAGAGCATGAAGCTATTGATAATTAAAGGATCTCTACTTTCCATGCGGCCCTCTCACAGGCAATTATCAATTTAAATCTTTTACAACCTCGCATCAAAAAAGAATCAGCTGCACTGCTTAACGAGAAAGGCACCCGCACCATAAATGAGCTTACAGACTCATAACCTAACTATTGCCTATGTAGATGATTCCTCTAACTTCGACCTCAGTAAAGGAAGCGCTGGCATGTATTTTATACACCCAAACGGCAAGCATGAATCTCATAAAATTTCTGGTGGAGAAACAGCCTCAAATTATACCTACGGTCTGATAGGTATCGAGGCTGTTTTGGGATATTTTTCATTCTGAAGCAGTTCAGAATTCCATTGGCATCGTAATTTTCTCTGATTCTAAATCTGCGCTCCAGGCGATCCAGAGGGGCAACTTTCAACTTGCCGAGGACATTGTTGTGTTCATAAACACAATAGTAGCTGTCCTAAAAGCCTGATACCTACAGTAGATTCCAGCGCACGTCGATATTTCTGAGAATAAGTAAGTTGACTACCTCGCCAAAGAAGCTCGAAATGGTACTCAACTTTCTAACAGAGTAGCCCTTGCCGACGGCAGATGCTATAGCCAGCCGAAGATTTTGCCTCTGCCTAGATTGTCAGCTCCTGTATTTTTTGAGGATCGTCGACGTCGCTAGGGCTATTATAGATACTTTTGGCCCTGTTTGACGTTTATGCACTAACGTTTAGACAAGAAAACAATAGTTAGGTCTGTGTATGGTTTTAAGGAATATTGTGATTATTTGTATGTTATTTCGTTTCTGTTATTTCTATTCCTTCCATTAGTCTCGACAGAATATAAACTTAAATAGCAAGAGGAGACGTAATTTGGAAGTTTGAAAACGTAACTAACAACAATTTCTCTTTTGAATAACGCACCTCTGTAACCCAATTCGGTTTCGGAGCGTGCTTTTCTGGCATTTTGCTAATATTTATGTATAGAAGGCGTTAAAAGGCGTTAAAAGTTTGGACAAGAGGTGATAAAATATTTCGTATAGTTATCGTGTTCTGATTACAAATTCCGAGGAACACGATGCTACTAATAGCAAGAAAACTAAGAACTAATTTATTTTATAAAAATTCAAGGTACAAAAGCAGATGATAATTGAAGCTACTAGAGTAATAATTAAACACGAGTGACAATCTTTAGAATTTACTGTCATTGCCAATTTTGAAAAGACAATCTTTTATCTTTATAAAAATAAATAGTGTAACAACTCCAACACTGATATTTGAGCTTTTGGATATTCCGAAATTTTGCATGGAGCGATTATATCTTAACATCGTAATACAAATAAACATTTTGTTTAGATTTCAGCTTTCCTCTACGTTTATTAAAATCTATACTTTTAGTTTATGTAACACAGGAAGATTAAACAAACATATAATGTTAAGAGTAAGTTTTAACTTCACGAAGTCACCAGGCGTATTAATATGAGAGACTCAGTTCTGATAAAATGGAAAATCCCCACTATAAATGTTTAGAGATGCCTTGTCTATTTAGCCTGAGACACACAAGACAAAAAGAAGCTTTAGCACGTGCTTTGTTAAAAAGAAAACAAATTAATTCTTAACTACCCAGCATTGTTAATTGCAAATCACCAATTCAGTTTAGTTCTTCCAAAATCACTTAAAAAAAAAAAAAAAAAAAAAAAAAAAAAAAAAAAAAAAAAAAAAAAAAAAAAAAAAAAAAAAAAAAAAAAAAAAAAAAAAAAAAAAAAAAACAAAAAAAAAAAAAAAAAAAAAAAAAAAAAAAAAAAAAAAAAAAAAAAAAAAACCTTCTGAATTCTTAATTGGATTTCATTGACACTTTTCATATCTACAATAATTTCTCTATATTGGTCAATGACTCAAATACCAACCCTTTCTTCCCATCCATTCGCAAACAGATAATGTTTGATTAAATTTACCATACATAACTGGTAATACCTGCTTTCTTTCTTTTATTATCTTTTACTCTTCATTATAGAGGGCAACATGATTACCGTGCAGAAAGCTCTCGAAAATTCATCAATCTTTCTTTCTTTTTGTAGTATTTGTCTTTCATTTAGTTACAGCTCAAGAAAGCGATACTGTTGAACCGCTGAAAACGCTTCTTTTAAAATAAAATTTACACCAATCCAGATGTGTTTTCCTGCAAACAGACTGATTCCCAGAAATTTTAAATGTATATTGAATATTACATTTAATCAGCTATGTCAAAGCAAATACTCATTTGACCATATGAAAATTTACAAGGCGTACCTGCCATAGGAATGCTTCCACAGAAGGTTTTTGTAATGAAAATTTTCTCGTGTTATTTACGTGACATTTGGATAAGTGTTTCATTCCCAGGGAATAAATTTCAGATCGAACTACTAGTATGTCAAATTATAAAGTTTCACAGATTTAAAAAAAGTTTATAAAAGTACCTGTAGTAATACTGTAATCAGTCTAGAGCGTATATTTATCATTTCTACAGGTCTTTCGTAATTATTACGTAGAGGAACGTCTTCAAAATATCAAGAACAGTAGACATCATGAGTATTTACGATATTTACAATTTAAAACTTGCTTTCAAACTATGTTTCTGAAACTTATAAGGGATTATAATAGGTGTACATGCTTCTTCGTGATTAAAATAAAATACATAAAATGTCTTACTAAGTGTCTGTCCAGAAAACTGTACTCTGTATTTCAAATCTTGTAGAAGGCATAGTTTTTTTGTTTGTTTTGTTTATTTTCTGATTTTGAAAAACCTAATAATCTCATAAACCTGATGGAATGATATTTTCAAGTAAAACTGATTCAAGTAAACTGTGAGAATTAGTGACGTATTAAGTTGAATTTGCTTTCCAAGCGAAAGGAAGAACTAATAATTCCTCTTCAGCTGCGTAGCGTACTTTTAAAAAAAATGCAGAAAATCGACCAATCAATATTATATTTTGAACAAAACCAAGCGATTTTCGAAATTTCTCCCAAAATGAGAAATTATGTTAAAATTGCCATATTAATTTCATTGAAAAGATTTCTTTTCAGCTCTATCCGTTGGTGCAAATAATAAAATTTAAAACGTTAAACGAAGATAAGTAGGAAAAACCATTTTAACATTAAAAAAAATCTGAATGAAGTTTTCAACAGATCGCTTTTTACTGCATTGTATTGCCATCCACATAAAGTTTAGGTATATGAATTTTGAAATAGATAGCTCAACAGAAAGTAACATAAAAATCAATGACAAAATTTTGACGATAGCGACAAATACCATGAGTTAGGAATACCAAGAGAAACTCATTAGGGGTTTCTAATGCTGGAGAAGTGAAAAATGAGCAATGCCCTCGCCGGGATTCGAACCTGGATCCTTCGAATACTCGCCAAGTATGCTAACCGTTTCCCGACGAAGGCATACAGAAAGGAGGGAGAAAATACAAATGCTTATAAAAAGTTATAACCAATTTCAATAAACATTTAATTCCTGCCCATTTTGTATGAATATTTACAAGGAACATTATGATTGTTACTAAAAAATGATGTTTTTAACCTCTTATATAAGTACCTCCGAGAAAGACTATTAGTTTTATAACAGTGCATGTGCTTCATATTTGTCATTCTGACTAAATCTGTTCACGTAGTTCGAATAATAAAAGTATCAGATGAGATCTGAAAATTCAGTGCAAGCTGTGACTACTTAGAGGTATGGATCACCGTGATGAATTGGCAATCTTCCACATATACTGGGATGATAGTTTTAAAATCCTCTTAAACCTTCACGAACTCATGTAAAAGGCTTTCAGACATTTTCAGAAAAAAATAAAATGTCTTACTTTAAAATATTGGACAAAGAAAATGCATTGCTGTGAAGATGTTGAAGAAAAGCTTATGGAATCGAATTGCGCACAAGCACTTTCCAATGGCAACGCCGACAGAAGATTTCATTTTTCATGTTGTTTTTCTTTACTTTAGAAATGGAATTCTTCTTTTTAGTAAAACGAATGAAAGTCAACAATAAAAGGAAGTCTTCAATGTTCAATCAATTACAACAAGGCTTAATTTACATATGGTCAAAATGGCGCATGTACCTCGTATTTCCATTTTCAGTAGTTCTACATAATCTTTCTTTGATATTAAAAGTAAGCAAAATTTTAAAGTTGTTTTAGTTAGTTTTAAATATATGCCGTGTGGGCTGTAAATTTTTGCCTTTTTTTTTTTGGAAAATGTATA